AAAAAGAGGAAACCGGGTTAGAAGGACCAAAGCATTGAAAAACAAAGAACAAGAAAAACTACCTGTAGAAGTTTCTGCCCAAACTCTACTGTTCGGAGAGGAGTGGTCTAGAAAAACTGAACTTAGAAGAGAAAAAATATCAATTGCTGACTCCACTTCTGAGTCCCTCAAAGCTCTCCTTAGTCCCTAATCCCAAGAATCCCCAGAAGTACGAAAAGAAGAGATAAATTGAGATTTTTTCAAAGAAAGGGAATAAAGGTTCAGGAATCTATCCTTGAGAAGAGATTCCCCAATCCACAAGTCCTCCCAAAAAAGAATTTTATTACCCACACAAGCATCATACCTGATGAAAGGATAGAAGAAAGGCAATATACCAACAATATCTTTCCATGGGGAAAAACGCGAAGCCCTTGGGTCGAGTCCAGTGTCCCATCCATTTGTTGCCATTCCATGAATACTTCTTATCGCCTTATGCCATAGACTCTCTTGCTCCTTAGAAAACCTCCATAACCATTTGCCTAACAAAACTACATTTCTTATTCTAATATTTCCAATCCCTAAACTCTCTTTGTCTTTCTTTCTAGACACCACTTCCCATTTTACCCTATGATCCTTTTTGGTATTTCCAAGCTACCACCGAAAATCTCTCATTATTTTTTCAATCTAGTTTGCAATCTTAACAGGCAATTTGAAGGTAGACAAAAAGTACACTAGCAAATTTGCTAGTGTTGATTTAATTAGAGTGATTCTACCCCCCAAAGAAATGTAGTTCCTTTTCCAACCCGCTAGTCTTTTTGAGAATCTTTCCAAGACTGGGTACCAAAAGCTAACAGACCTCGGATTTCCTCCCAAAGTTAAGCCTAAATACTTAAGGGGCCATTCACTTAGCTCACAACCTAGAGATATAGCCAACGATGCCACCTGACCTTCTTGCCTATTAATTCCAGCTACACAGCTTTTATTCCAATTTACTCTCAAGTTGGAGACCTTTTCAAAAGTCTCTACCAAGACCTTTAAATTTTCCAACTCCTCCGGATCTCCTTCACAAAAGAGAATCAAGTCATCAGCAAATTGAAGGTGGGTTGCAACTATTTCCTGCCTCCCTACTCTCCACCCTCTAATCAAATTTCTAGCATCGGTTCTAGTAATTTGGACACTCAACACATCAACTATCAGGGTGAAAAGGAAAGGAGAAAGAGGGTCCCCTTGTCTTAATCCTATCTTTCCCGGGAAGAAATCCTTGGCTACCCCATTTACTAGAATGGAGTAGTGACATGAAGAGATACAGCCCTTAACCCACATGCACCACCTTTCTCCAAATCCTCTGATGCTCAATACTTCTAGTAAAAAGTCCCAGTCCACCAAATCATAAGCCTTCTCCAAATCCAGTTTGCAAATCAGACCCTTTTCTCCTTGTCTTTTTCTGCAATCCACACATTCATTGGCAATAAGGATCTGATCAATAATTTGTCTTCCTGACACAAATGCCCCTTGGTTTGGAGAAATCAAAGAAGGTAGTACCTTTTTTATTCTTTCTGCCAAGACCTTTGATATTACCTTATACATACTACCAATTAGGCTTATGGGCCTAAAATCCTTTGGGTGGTTTGCATTTATCTTTTTAGGAATCAAAGCTATGAAAGTAGCATTGGCACCCGAATTTATCTTACCTCTCTCAAAGAATTCCAAGAAGACCTCCATTAAATCACCACCTATAATATCCCAACAATCTTGGTAAAAGGCCACCGTAAAACCATCTGAGCCTAGGACTTTAGATCTTTCCATTGAAAAAATAGCATCTCTTACTTCTTGGACTTCAAAATTCTTTTCTAGTTGATCCATCAAAACTCTATTCCCAGGTAGCCAATCAAGGTCAGGGATTTCTTCTCTCTCTCTTCTTGGGCTTTCATAAATGGATTTGAAATGCTCCACAAAGTGGGCCTTTAGGCCAATGAATTAAAAAAAAATGCATTAAACCTATTTAGCACTACAAATTAAAACCATTAACTAGAAAATTTGTACATTTCATATATATGCATGCATGCATGTATGCATGTATGGGTAATTGGGTTGAAATAGTGAGAAATGATTTTGAAGGGCCCAAATTGGATATTGGACATGGTACTGAATGGAACAGAATGGAGGAATGTGATTCATGTAGCAAACCCCATATAATTAGGGCAAGGCTTAGTGGATTTAAATAAAAAAGAAAAAGATTAACAGGACCAAATTTCCATTGCAAAACCATCTTTTTAACTGGATAAATAAAAAGCTCTATGCATGGAAGGTGCTTTACACTGAAAATCCCAAGAGACAAACAAGTAAGCTAGGAATCACCCTATGGATCGGTTTTTGTTATTGGCAGTTCAAAGAACAAAACAGCACGAATATTGAACCTCCTCCATTGATTGACAAAAGAAGGCAAACCCCTAAGTGATTAAGTTCACATTAGGGATGCAACTTGGGCAGGCTCAGGTTGAGTGTTTGTTAAAATGTGAATGGGCCTAGCCCAATGAAGTGTACATTCTTTAAGTCAGGCACCTGACTTGCACCTCTAGTTCAAATAGAGAAACAAAATGCTTATGATCATTCCTCTTTTTCTGGTTTAACCCCTAAGCAATTAAGTTCATACAGACAAGAAAACTGCCGAATGATTATTCCTCTGTTTCAAGTTCATAAAACAAGTAGGAATACTAACAAATGGCAGATTTAGGAAATTATATCAATCATCAGAATGAACTCATGATTTACTTGCAGCAAGAAACTTCCACACAGAAATCAAAAATAGAAGCAAAAGAAAAAGTTTCCTTTGGACTGCAAACTGGATAAATACCTTTTCCCAAAACCAATTCAACTGGTCGTTGTTCTAACCATGTGTCTTCAAACTTGTGTTGGGTGCTTTTAGTCCATGCCCTGTAGTGCACTATAGGAAAGGCAATTACCCAATTTAAGTCTTTAGGACACAAGTTAGCAATCACATATCTTGAATAGATCTACCATAAGACAAGATTAGCTCTAAGTTGCTTTGTGAATTTGATAAGCATTTTAACCTGTAAGATTCAAGTGATAAAAACAGGAAAAGATGAACTTACCTCACTAATTAAAAGCTTAAATTATGACAAAACTAAAATTCTAGCCATTTCCTAGTGCAGAGTCCTTTTTTATTCTTTTTAAGATTAGAAATCTTCACCAAGTATTCAATTTCACAAGGATGAAGAGAAACACAAAAGTCGCATAAAAAATAAATTGATGTTCATTTTCCTGATGATAGTACATACTGACAGCTTTTTCATACCATCACAGGGTAGATGTATCTTTTGAAGTCACATAAAGCGTGTAAATATGCCCAGTGTCTGGTATAGAAGCCTATGACAGCTTTGCAAAGGGGTCTAGAAGCATGCTAATCTTGCTTTATGGGGTTGATAGTAGGGCGTATTTTAACACGTTTTAGAAAAAGGAAAAAAAAAAAACTTTTCTTTAAACCAGAAGATAGTTCTTTAATTTAAGATTTTAACATATGCAACAATGAAACATACAAGTTATATTTTCTGTTCTCTAGCTCTTTTTGAAGTTTGATATAGAAGAGAATTACCCCCAACTGGAAAAGTATCTACCTACATTTTCTGTAATCTAACTCTTCTATCTATCAAATTGAAGTAAGGAATTTGTTTTTTCAATACTTTTTTTTGGTAATGAAACAAAAAAAAATTCATTAGCTCAAGCCCTCAAGGGGGGTAAGTTTTTTCAATCTATTAACACAGAAATGCAACATGCAAAGAAATAACAAACACTCCATGATGTTACTTACAGAAGCACGTTGAATACTTGGTTGGTTTTTGTCCATGACCTTCCTTGTTGATTTGTTTTGTAACTTTCTCATGAAGAACTTCCACTTCTGAATCAACATTTGGGGGACCTTTTGTATCTTGTGGAGGTTCTCCATGCACAAATGCAGTAGATTCAGTAGTGATTTCATTATCACCACCCTCGCCTGTCAAAAAACAAGAAGTATTATTTTTTCTTTATTCACCAAATCATAGAATTTTATCCTTTTTAGTTTCCTTTTTGATTAGTGCATTATGTTGTCATCCTAATACCAGGAAGAGATACAGCTCCATTGATAATCTGAGATTTCTCTCTTATATGCAGAGGAGCAATAAAATGTTGGCTCTCTATTAATATTTAATAGATGAACAAAAATAGCAAGAAAATAAGGCAAAATTATTTCAAATTCCAGTTTATGATTTTTTTATCAGCACCAGTTTTATGATATTTAGGAAATAAGGTTGTTTTTCTTCTAAGGATTTCGAATAGAAATAAGCATTTAATAAATCAATTTCATGTCAAACTAAAAGAACAAGGGTGAAGACACTGTTTTATTTAATGTAAGAGGGAGAAAACAGAAGAAACAAAAAAAAAACTATTCATCCTTCTCTTACTTCTTTTCTTTTTCTCTTCTCAAAACCCTCCGATCTTTTAAATTTCAATGGTAACACTTTAAAGCAAAGTATAATTGATTTATCTCTGTGCTAGGTACTCTAGCTAGGTCTGGACGGGAAGTTCTTTTTTTTTTTGTGTGTGTGTGTGTCACTATAAGGTGCCCACATTTTTTTTGTGCATGTGTTCCATGGAGGAATGATATTGCACGTATCTGTATATTGATGCACCTCTGCTAATATAAACCTCATTTTGGATGTATTAATACATATATGAAAAGAAGAAACAAAAATTCTTGGATAACATTCTGATTCATTAATAAGCCATAAGCTCTCTTCTTTTTGGTATTTGCTTCAGTAATACAGGAAACACATGCAGTGACAGACTATGATGACCAGATATAAGTACTGACATAGACATAGATAGCAGAAAATGGAGATACAACTCTCCATTTCCTAAGATCCCATACATGGATAAGGCCTTAGGTACAAGTTTAATTTGCTTACATCATGCTTTTATATCCAGTTTTTTGAAGCCAAGGAGCCATTTGATAATGACTGAAGTGACTGAAAGGAATGACTTATTGCTTTGTCATTTACTGGATAAAGATATTCATATAATAAAATATTTAGGAATGTAGTAATCAACCTACTATGACATTCAGCCATTAAGGAGCTCACAACCTATTTGATGACTTATTTGCTAAATGTAGCAAGTCTTTCAGTTTAATCACTTCAGCTGTTATAAAGCACACTTTGGACATGTTCATACAGTATCTGGTTTTGTATCGGATATGTATCAATTTCCAACATTGGTAAACTAGGGATGTAATAGGTATCATGGATCACAGGTAGGAAATGTGAATCAATTAAGTAGCAATTTTTTCAAGAAAGAGTAAAGTTTATTGTATTATATTGAGTAAGAAGTGCTCCAGTACAGAAAGGAACTGTACAGTGCAGGAGATGGCTGTACAAACATAGAGAATACACAGATTATTTGTTGTAAGGTTAGAAGCTTGGGACCAAGAAAAAATCTTTGCCACTATATCGTAGATCACAGTTCATCTATTTGAGAGGATTTGCATTCAAAAACCTTGCTATTCTTCTCTATCCAAATGGTCCAAAGAGCAGCCGCAAGAATCATATCCCATACATGCTTGCCATTGCTTGAGAGGCCTTCTAGATTAGATACCTACCTACAAGAAGTTTCTTTCTTATAAAGAATTCATGTGGTATATTATGTTACATTATTCATCAACATAATTGATTACCTAACATTTGGCTGCCACATTATCAACAAAAGGGAAGAATTAGAAAGTTAAAAGCATTACATTGAATATATACTGGCTACGGTAATCCCAAGGTTCAAAATTTTGTCACATATTGGCCCTACGTATCGTATCAGTGGGTCACCAATAGACAAAATATGAGTGTTTCAGGATTTTGACCTATTTCAGGGGGCAGACAAGCCTAAAACCTACCCCCTGACCTATTTTGAAAAAAAAAAAAAAAAAAAAAAAAAAAAACTAGAAAAGAAAAGGTGGGTGCATGGTTAAGTACCGATACACCCCTTGCACTGTATTGGGGTGTATCAATACTTTGAACCTTGTGTTATCCTCCATGAATTTATATCTCTAGTTTTGCACCCACAATTGTTCCAACTTCCAACTACCACTTATACACTTTACAACAGTGACGGTTCTAAACATCTGCCACAGAAACTAAACCAGTACATCTTAGCCTAGTTCCATAGCCTTCAGCTAGATTAAACCTATTCTAACCAGTAACCACATAACAACACAATAACTCAATAACCATTACATACAATGAAAAACTTAAATAGTAAAGTCTTTGAATGACTACTTAACTTTCATTACACTTATAATATAGGCTTACAACTTACAAGTTACAATTGTAAGGAAACTGAGAAAATAGGCCCAACCTGCAACATATTACATTCTTTACAAGGATGCTGGTCCTCATTTTATGGAGATTGAAATTAATTTGTTTTGGGCTCGCCCATGACCCAACATGTCAAAAGAAAAAAATAATTAATTAATTAATTAATAACAATTAACAAGACAATATTTGGACTTTAAAGATTAAAAATTTCATTCCAGATAGCAACAGAAACTGCAGATATGCATCTGAGAACTGAATGAGTGAACATATTTTGTTTAAAGTTCATACTTGTTCTGTATAATTAATTGAAATTATATTATTAAATAAAAAACACAAAGAAAAGGAAGAAAGAGAAATCCACTTGAATATCTTATTTTGTTTAAAGAGGACAAAGTCTGCTAAATCACCAATTGAATGACTTTGTTCATCCTGAACATCCTCCATTGCTCAAAAATTAAAAATCCAACTCGTATGCTCTCTCACGGATGTTACTCTCAAACTTCTGCAAGAAATGAAGCAAACTGAACTAAGTAAACTAACAGGAAGAGCAAATTAAAGCCACAATTCAATCAAAACCTCCTTCACAGACTCCAGCTCAAAACTAGAGGTTTATCCAAAACAATTACGGCAAGATTAAATCAGAATGCTTCAATAAACACACTAAGGAAGATCAAACGACGTTCACTAAAGCCTTAAAAAGATGGCAACAAAGAAAGGGAGAATGAGCATAGTCGAAGTAAGAAATGGTGAGTAGATCGACCGATCTAAAGGAAACGAAGAGAACATGGGGCACTTAGTTACTCGCAGTATCGACGAATCTCTCGAACTAGGGCTTTAACGCAGCAGGTCAGTGACGCAGAGGAAGACTTCAGTTTTCAGGTTTTGTACGACCGATGAAGATTCGAGAGTCGGACTCGGAGATCAACCCACCCATCCGTTGAATATTAAAATAACTGGAGACCAAGAGGCAAGAGGGAGAAGTTTTGAAAAAAAAAAAGAAAAAAAAAAAAAGGAAAATTAAAACGTTCCCCGTGGCCGCGGGTGTCACCCGGTCCAACCAGGTCAAAGAAATTCAACCATGAGGTAGGGGGTGGATTTGAAGCAAGTGATTAGTAAATAGCTTCAAATATTAATCGAACTAACCTCACAAATCTAATCGAATCCATTCAAATGTTGATAAAAGCCAAGCCCAAATCCAACCCATGAACACATCTAGTGCCGCAACAGTTCAAGAATTCGAGGCCTGAGCTGCCAGGAATCATGCCACAGGGGATGATAGGCTGATGACGTGGTGCTCGATCTACAATGTCAACAAAACCATATATAATAGCTTCGATATACCAAAATTTAGAGCTGCGATTGCTTCATTGGAAATTGGTGATAGAATGAATGGATCCCCGAAGAAGGGAGGCCATGGTGTCAAGTTCACAATGTCTGATGACGGATACTCCAAAACTGAAAGTGGATTCGAGAAAGAAACTGTGGATTTCAATTTGAAGATCCGGAGGATGACGCTGATGCAAATAAATAATGATAACTAAGCCATCTGGTTTAAAGTCAATGACAGATTTTGAGGATTTAAAGAGTAATTAAGAGTATTTTTGTTTTTTAATCTTTAATTAGTCTTTAACGTTAAATGATTTAACAAAGTAAACTTAAGTAGTTTAGTGAAAGTAATTAACCCAATAAAGGTATAATATCTGTAAAAGTTTAACCAATATAAACACGTGAATTTGAATGAATACCAGATTTGTATTCGTGTGATCCTTTGATAGTAGATCTTGCTCAACTCAGTACGACCACTCTTTTCTTGCCAACACGGTATAGGAAAATTGAAAAAGGCTCTAAATCAACCTCTACAAGAACGTCGTTTTGTTGCAGTGCCGTCCGCAAAGCACTTGTTTTGTCAAATCAAACATAGCATAAATGTTTTACTTTGAAGGAAAAGGTAGGGAAAAGAAGGGAAAGACAGGGAATCTATACAGGTTTGTAAACGTTTCCTTACCTTTCCCTGCATTTTCTTTCAAACCAAACATAACATAAATGTATATCCATTCTCTCGTATGGAGGAAAGTTATTAAATTAGTTTGATTAAAAAAAATTAAAAGAACCTAAGGGGTGGCGTTTGGGACTCTAGGGATGCCTGAACATAGCATAACTTATGCTTTTTTTTCTTGTTGAATTCAAGTCTATTACTACCAAATGCCTATAACTACCGTGTATGAAACATCGCTATCTAATTAAATTCAGATTAACTAGAAGGGTACTTTGGGACCATTTAATTAAATTCAGATTAACTAATAAATTAACTGTATAACAGGCTGTAAAACCAATGACAGTACTCCACCCTAAAAATAAAGTACATGGGACTGGGATCCATGTGTTTTATGACTGGTGCGGAGTGTTATTATTAGTTATCAGCATTTTCTTAGGTACTGACTACTGACCAAAATAAAACCCAACTCTTAAGCTTCTATTAGTAGTTTCTGGCTCATCTAGAAAGTCTTCCCCCTTGGCCAAAAAAATAGATTGTAAAGAGGGTTCATGATGTTGCCTGAGGTTTCAAAAACCAATCTGGAAATGGAACCACCTTGCAGCAATTTCCAGGTCAACAGTAGAGGTGAGCAAAAAAAACCAAAAACCTGAATCGACCAAAAAAGCCAAACTAAAAAAATCGGTTAATCGAACTGGTCGGTTCTGTTTCGGTTTGGTGTTTTTAAAAAACCGAAGATACCGATTTTGGCTAACTAATATAGAAAAACGGCGGTTAACTGAACCAACCGATATGCATATATTTTTATATATTTTATATTTTTTTATATATTATAAATTAATAAAAATGCATTATATATAAATATATCAAGGTTCAAAATATCGATACGCCTGATACACCGGTAGGGGTGTATCAGGCGGTGTATCAGGCAAATCGATACCCTTTTTTTAATTTTTTTTTTAAAACCGGTTCAAGGGGCCGGTTTAGGGCTCCTCCACCCCCTGAACAGATCAGACCCCGATACCATATCGAAGGGGTCGCGGAATGATTAGTATCCGTCAATACATGTCGATACTTTGAACCTTGAAATATATATATAATATGATATATTATTTATTATTTAAAATATAATATTTTGTATATATTTATAATTTTTATTATATGTTTATATATATTTTTATAATATATATTGTAAAAATTAAAAAACCGAAAAAACCGACAAACCAAACCAACAGTTAACCGACTGGCTTCGGTTCAGTTTCAGCTTTAGGTTTTCCAAAAACCGGTTGTACCAGTTCGGTTCCCAAAAAAGCCCTACGCCGTGAACACCCCTAGTCAGCAGTCAACCGCCTGGGTTGAATGGTTCAAACCGTGGCAGGGGTGATTCTGTTCACCGTGGCTGGCATTGCAGCGATCTGAAACCTGAGAGCTAAGATCCTCTCTCTCTCCCATCTCCGTCTGTCTTTTATCCAGATCTCAGGTTTACAATTTCTAGTTTTATTTTTTTGGGTTATTTTAATTTTTAAAAAACTTCAATATTTTTCATTGAAGTGTAAACAATTGTCCAGGTCAAACAGTTCAGTGGTCAAACCATCTTGGTCAACAGTTTGCTGATCAATTTGGGCCACGGGAAAACGGAAGCAGATAGGTGACCAGTTTCTGGGTTGAGTAGTCCGACAACCCGGATCAATGACGATTTTAAAACCATGAATTGTTGCCTCCTAAGTCTGAAGTTGTGATGGGAACTTTTCAGTGGGAGAATCGGTAGTTTATATTGCCCCCTAAGCTTGGGAATTGGGATTCTGTGTCTGTGTACAAAAACTCTTGTATTGTAATTCCAATTCATAGGACTTCGTTACAGTTACGCCAGATGCAACAAGCACAAAAAACAACTCCCAGACTTTGGGTTCTCAGTGTTATGACTAATTGTTTGATACTTAGATACGTATGATGCAAGCTAGCATGATTTAGAAGCATAAGAGTCTCTATTTTTGATAATCTCAAAAATCCTTGACGCTGCTCAAAACTAGCTAGGCAATCTGCAAAACATAAAAAAAAGTCCAAAGAAAATTTCAGATTTACTGCTAAATAGCATATTTCCAAATGGCTCATACGCAAAATAATCCCATGACTAATGAAAGAATTGGAGATGTAAACAAAATATTATCGAATCATTGTCAAAGTGAAGCTTTGGGTGAAGACTATGAACATTCTTGACTGTTATTTATCCATAATATGCTTAGAGATTGGCAATGGGTGGGTGGCTTCACAACTTACATTGAGCCCTACTCTAGTGATCATTTCACTAGGCTGAACTTTGATGTATTTTGCGTTGGAAATCTAAGCCCTTAAGGCTATGTTTGGTTTGAAGGAAGAGGTAGGGAAAGGAAGGAAATATAGGGATACCGATACAAGGTGTGTAAAGGTTTCCCTACCTTTCCCTACATTTTCCTTCAAACCAAACATAACCTAAGAGATAGGGACTTATAAATTTACATAGTACCATAGTAGAAATATTTTCGGGCCCAGCTGGCTACAGGGACAAAATAAGGGCGAAGATGATAGCTGTATTGCAAGGATTGAAAGTGGGTAAATCTTTTTTTTTTTTTGAGAAAAGTGGGTAAATCATTAAACTTGAGAAATATAGTGGTAGAAAGAGACTCAAAGACGGTGGTGGTAGTGGGATGTATGAAAGGTACAGGTCAAGGATTATGATGTTACTGCTTACTGGTATATCATGAGGGAGATCAAACACTTTGCCAAGCATGAAGTAAACAGGGACTACTTTTTTGGGGCTCAAATGTAATCTGGAAATTGATTGATGGGATAATAGGTGGTTGCTTACCAACTATATCAGGGATGCTTGGCATGTTGTACATAACCTTTTTATTATCTTAATAAAATCATTTAGTTAGTCATAAAAGCATAGCTCCAACCTCTTAGTCAAGATCCTCTTTAGTGATCAGTCTGCAAAATCTCAAAATGACATCTTTTTATCAATAAAAGGAAACTTCATTAAGAAAAAGGAAATAGTACAGATTATGAGTAGCCTCGGCTACCCCACTAGGACTTAAAATTGCCAACTATCAACTTTTGACTTTTTAGCCCCTTGTTTAGCTAGCTGATCTGCAAATCCATTTGCTGCTCTTGGAGTCTACTAGGTTAATAATTGCATGTCATTGGATAGGCTTTTAATCTTCTTGATTTTGTTAGAATGCTCGAGTCAGGGGTATTTTGGTCATTCTGGTTTATCTGCTTAAGAGTGAAAGGTCTATTGTATCTGAGTTTAAGTTATGTGTCCCATCTCTTATGAGGGACAAAATGGTCTTTCTTGTAACTCCATGATTTTGAATAAATACAAGTGGGTCGCCTAGGGGAGAAGTGATTTGAGACTCTCTTCTAGTCTGGCGAACTCTCTTTCTCTTCTTCTTTCTCTTTTCTTTCTTCCTCTCTACTTCGACCTAGAATCTACTAGGGTTTACTTACATGGTATCAGAGCTGTAAGGTCGTATTCTCCTTTCTTTCTTGCTGTTGTTCTCTTTCTAGGTTCGCCGCCAACTTTCACAGTCATCTTCATTTTTCGACTAACCTAAGTGGAGGTTCGATAAGGGGCTGAAAAGGAGCTGTCGTTTTGTGGGCCTGGAGGTGAGAATGCCTCCGGTCGTTGTTGTGGTGGTCGTTGAAGTGGTATACTAAACCCTCTATTCAGTGTACGAAGAGGGCTGAAGGTGGACAGCTATGAACACTGCTGTTGTTTGTCCAAGTAAGGGACTTTGAATGCTGTTTTTTTTTTTTTGCTTCAAAAGTTGGTTGTTGTGGAGCTCGGTGTGGCTGATATGCATATCAGTATGCATTTTTCCTCATATGTGTGTTGAAAGAAGAGTTGTCGACTGCTGAAGTTCACGACAGCAGTGGTGTGGTGGTGGTTGTGTCGTGGTAATTGGTGTATCTATGATTCTAAATATTTAAAAGTGAACTCCTAGACCTTGTGTGTAATCAGTTCTGCAGTATGAAGAACAAGTGTCCGATGTAATGACTGAGTGATTTCAGCCTTGGTGTGTTGATGGTGAATGATTTTGCAGTGTGCAGCCCAGGTGTTTGATGTGATGACTGAGTGATTTCAGCCTTAGTGTGTTGATGGTGAATGATTTTGCAGTGTGCAGCCCAGGTGTTTGATGTGATGACTGAGTGATTTCAGCCTTAGTGTGT